TAGTAATTGAATGCCACAAATGTCCCCACGTTTTCGGGAGAATCTTATAAACTACAGAAGTTGTGAGACCTTCGACGACGTATATGCAAGATGCACAAAACTATGATTTATATTAAGATGAACAAAGAACAACAACAGTGTCGTACGATGATCCCTGGTATAGAATTAATGGGAGGAAATTTAACTCCTATTTTGAAGGACTTTTATAAGTTATATTAACCTTTGTATATGTTATGTTATTTGTTATGTATATGCTAACGATTGCTTCCTTGTCTTTAATTCGTTGTTAAAACAACATATCTATATGTAAATCGTGGTTCGTTAACTCGTGCTTCAAAGTAATTAGTTATTTTAATACATATTTATTAAATTATATTGCGAAACTTTGTCAAACCCTATTACAAAACTTAAACCTAGTTTTTCATTCTTTGTCGTCATAATAAACCTATTACTAGAATTCCATTCATGCCGTCTCAAAATTGATGATATAAGCATCCAAAAACGTTGTTTTATCAACTGTTCTATAAAAAAAAGTAATTTAAATTTCTTCAAAAGGCAGCACTAATTTATTCTTGCTATTTTAATTATTTTAATAATCAAAAAATGCATAAAAGCAGATGTTTATTCGTTTTTTTTTATTTCTAGGTTTTTTTTTTTTTTTCTTCCCAACCTATATTTTAAAAAACTAATTTAGAGAGCCAGATCTTTCTTTGACGGACATTTAATTACCAATTTTGTCGGATAACTCATAAAAAATTTCCATAATCTATAATTTATATGTATGTGTATGCGCACATCATATCACTGATCTATTAAAATGTCTCCATTACTAGTATCAGACGTCCTTCGCGAAATTTTTTTAAACCTTGTCGATACACTTAACTCTCCTGACCAACAATTTAATATCGGTATACGAGATTTATATTCATGTGTTTTAGTAAATCGTCAATGGTGTGAAATCGCAATCCCGATTCTTTGGAGTCGACCTTTTTTTTATGGTGATAAGCATGAAAAATATAATGAAAAAGTTATTCAAATGTACGTCAAGTGCCTTGGAGATCAAGAAAAATTATTTCTTTTAGATCAAGGGATTGATGTTTCTGAAATAATAAACTACCGTTTAGATGAACATTCTAGTTATAATGAAAGCACTG